AGGATGTGCTTAGTCATGCTTGCACATGGATGCATATGCGTGGATATGTGCATAGTAATTCATCTGTGTGTGCCTATTCTGAGAAACTTTGTTTTAAAGATAAGTAAAACTGTGCACAAGTAGTGAGTAACCACTAGTTTCTTAAATAAATGAATTATTTCTCAATACTTTTTTTTCTGTCCTTTTAAATAGGATACATCACCACTTGGAATTTGGAGGTTTTATAATGGTGGCTATTGATTTGATATATTTTAGTCATGATGAATACTAGTGCTCGTTTTTTGGTGAAACTTATTTTTAAAAGTGTTTTTCTTGTTTTCTTTTTCTGGCTATTCTATCTCTCCTATCTCTGATGAGGTAAGTCTTTCTTTTTAAAAACTATAGGTGTGTAACCAGTCATTCAGCTAGTCTCTTTCCCTGGTCAGAACTGGCTTTTTAGTTTTCAAAGTAATTAAAAAGAGTTCATCTTAATTGAGCTGATGTCCATGCTGATACTTCAGCTTCACTCTCTTAGTCTCATTTGAAAACAGAAATCAGATAGAGCCTTACAGTTTTAATTCACCTATCTACAGAGGGGGGAAAATGAGCCATCTCGGCTAAGGCATGAAGTGGAAATTCTATGTTCTGAAAATTGTTGCCTCTTAAATGCAAACATAACACATCATTTTATGAAGATAGCCACAAATCAACAAACATAATCATAATCCTTGTCTTTCTTTCTCCCAGTTACACCCCAAATCAAGAGGTTTTAGGCATTTCCTATTCAGATACAGTTGAAATGAGAGATTTTGCAGCTGATGGTGAGTATATTTTAAAATGATACACTCTCCTCCGGAGCTAAATCACAGAAGGTTTCATTACTTGGTCCCCACCCTCCTTCTGGATGTAGTGCGAAAGTATGAGGGGCTGGCTTCCTTGTAGCTGTGGCTCCTGGGCTGGGAGCCCCCCAGCCTGTCAGTAGAGTAAATTTTCCTCCACACAGTGGGGAAAATCTCAAAACGGAGTAGTTATCCAGGCACAGATCAGTTCTGACTGGATAACAAGAGGGACTCTGATGGGGACTTAGCTGTTTAGATTAAAATGCATCGCAGGCTCTGGGAACAAGCACACATCAGTAGTAAAGGCTGTTTAAACCTATGGGGACAGCCCTATGTTTAGATTACATTAATTCATAAATATTATACTAAATACCATTTAAATTGGACTTAAATGACTTCAAAGATAATGCATCATAATATGGCTATCCAGAGAGCAATAGTCTTTATGTCTCCCAGTAACTCAGTCTTTGCTGCCTCCTATCCTGCTAGACAGGAACGAAGTCATGAATGGATTGCTGACTTATTCATGTGTGATTTTCTGTGTGTGTTTGTGTGTGTGTGTGTGTGTGTGTGTGTGTAGGCATGAGTATATGTGTGTCATTGGTCACTGCCTCTGTTTGTTCTCCAAGAACTAAAAAAAAGAAAATAGAAATAACTTAAAAATGAGAGAAGAGAGGAAGTAGACTGGTGGGTGACCTGTTCCCTTTTCCAAGGAAGAAAAATTCTACAAGAAGGGACAAAATTGGTCCTTAGCTCATTTCTGCTGCTACCCCGGGAATTAGCCTCTCTCTTCTTTAATCGATAGGACAATGTCGTTCTCTTTGGAGCCTGGAAAAACAATCTTTCCAAAAGTGCTTCAAATGGGGGGAGGAAAAAAAGACTAAGTCAGAGAGTTTGCACTGTGCTGAGGTTTCTTCCTTGGGTGTTGTTTCTTTGAATTTTGATTTTTTTCTTTTTTTCTCCCTCTGCCTAACACCTAGACCCTCTTCCCCCCAATTGCTTGCTGGTCTCTGGGGGGTAAATTTACCTTTACAGCAATTACCCCAGTCCACAGCTGCTATTTGCTGCTTCCCAGCTCAACAGCCCTTCTTGGATATGGCTGGGTTTGCTCCACAACACCCACCTACTCCCTCCTCCACAGACTCCCAATTTGACTAGAGTAATTGCCTTTTAAGGTGCACTCTACGCATGGCATGGCAGGTATTCTGTTAACCCTTAGAACTCCTTCCTTCTTTAGTTACCTGAAATGGTAGGTGGCCAGCAAATGGTTATCCACCTGAAATCTCATGCATTTCATTTACTTTTTACTGCTTTAAAAAACCAATAACATAAACATGTTATCCATGCTGGGGGCCAGTATTTGCTTGTGTGTCTCAATTTTACCCCAGTATTATTCATTAGAAGTTGTAAATTCAGAAAGGGGAAGGCAAGAGCCATGAATATGCCCTGAAACCAGGCTTAACAAAGGCATGATTCTATCCCTAGTCTCACGTTGTCAGTTTAGAGATGGGGAAAATCTAGAAGCCAAATGCAACCCTCATTCTTCCAGCCTCATCATGTTTTTTGACTTAACAGTAATTAATCAGCAATGGCAAGTCAGTAATTTTTTTAAGGTGGCCAGAGGCTTATTTTATCAGGATTAGCTAATAAGTCAGGCTGCATCATTGAAGGAGGAGTTCAAACTCTACTAGGACTGGATAAACCAGCCCTTGGAAATGGTCTCATTTATTCAGCTCTCCAGGAGCTTACAGGCATGGTTAGAGATTGTGGCCAAACTCGACTGTAAAGATCAGAAGGATGGAGAAGCAGGAAGTTTTAAGGAAAAATATATGCTCAAGCTCTGAAGGGTGAGCTGTGACACCCAGGATGCCAGAGCCAACGGGCCCTGCCTGTCACCGACTGAGACAGTTTGGAAGAAGAATTATTTGGAAAATGAAGTTTTACCTTCCTAGGAATTTTGCATATATTCTCTCCCTGATACAAATGATTAAAATTCTATTTCTTATAATATGAATCAGACCAAATTACATTAGAAGCAAAGTGATGATATCAGCAAGGAATTGTTGAGAAGAAACCAAGGAATATTGCTAAAGTTTATCTTCATTTGAAAGAAAGAAGTAAATAAAGTGCTCCAACCCCGATCTCATAGGATGCCTAGCTCCCCACAGCTATCTTTTGCTTCTAGTGGGTTCTGATTTTTTAAACTTGGAAATCTTGAATTACCACAAAAACTGATCATGGGCAGGCAAAAACCATTCCTACCTACGCTATTAAAATTTTTATTATTACTATTTTAAAATCCAGGGGCCTATTAAAATGACAAAGGTTTGACACAAGCCTTGATTAGCTTCTAGGGAGCTTGATTGGAAAGGGAAAATCTACAAAGATATGGTTGAGAGGGAGGGGGAAAGAAAGTGTTTCTTTCCTGCAAATATTATTTCAAAGACTGCCTTTCCATTTCACCTTTTCAATCTCTTTTCTGGACAGACAGACATTTTCTCCATGTTGAAAACAGGTTGGCTTCTCTCTCCATTACAGCCCCCACCTTTACCCCACCCCAACAAATCCAGTATATTTCCATTCTGCTCTATTTCTGTGCTACTCAACATGCCATTAACTTTAAGATTTACTCCTCAGCAGGCAAGCTGGAAGATGCTAAAGCCAATAAAAACTGCTCTCTGGGACTCCAACTATGAAGAGTTTGGAGCTCTGTTTAGTATTCGGATGAAGGGAGGGCTGGAGAAGGAGGGTGGTTGTGGTAGTGAAAGCCACTGCTGCTCAGGGAGCCAGACAGTTCCGAGCTCTGCACCTAATGTGCTGGAGGTTCAGCTCTGTTCATAGCCCATTTGTGGCCAGGAATGAGGCTGCTCTCTTTATGTGGGGGTGGGCGTACATGTGTGTGTTTTCATCTTTAAAACCACCAGCTCTCACACAGCATCTTCAGCGGCTCTCCACACTACTGTTTATTAAAAACGGAACGTCCATACACATCCCCTACAACTTCCTTATCCCCACGCTCCTTCCCTGTCTGGCGATCAATCTCTCTCAGAAAGCATTTAACTTGCCCACACAGCTCCAGCACCGATTAATCCCCGCTGCACATCCTATATATTACTGTTAGGGAGCAGAGCACTGGGCTAATTTCGTCACCTACCAGCCACCCACACACATTCTACAACTGAACACGTTTGGGGCTCTGCCTCAAAGATAATAAAACAAGGAGAAAACAGGCAGGCTGTAGACAATTCCTATGACCACTTTCTTAAAAGTTGTTAGGTTTTAATTCTTTGATTATTCTGTCTCCTCCTCCCTCAAGCACTCACTAGTAAAGATTGCTGCAAGGGAGAAATGATCTACTATAAGGCTCTCTGCATGGTGAGTTTGGGATAAATTAGGGTACACTCTTAAAAATGCATGGCTTGGACACATATATTTCCCCCCGAAGCCCAGTTTTTCCGGAAAGGGGACTATCCGGGTCTCACAGACCCCAGTCCACCCAGGGGATGGCCGGTTCCCTGCTAATTCTTGCCTTAGGTTTTATCAGTCCTTCCTTCAAACATCCAAACCACCCCCTTCCCCCACTCCCCACACTGTCACTCACACCACAACCAGATTATTGAGGCTCACAGCTCGACAAGCAGAGTTTACTGTTAAATTGATAGCAAAATAAAAATATCTCTGAATTTGTCACCTCTCCCCCCTTTAGACGGCTGAGCTCTCCCGCTACTCTGGCCCCAGAGGAGGATGAAAAGACAATCTCCTGTAGTATTTTCAGCACCACTGCGATGGACAGCACCCTTGGTACCCGGCCCGCCGAGCGCCCGCCGGTCCGTTCACCCTCTCGGGCTCGCCCGGCGCAGCGGTCCCCGTCCCAGTCTTTCAAGTCCCTGTGCCCAAAAACACAATCCCCGTTTACCCCCTCCGTCCTCTCTTTCTTTCTCTTCATCTTCTGCGCCCGCTGCTCTACCCAAGGCACCCCTCCTATCAGTTCCTCGCCCAAATCCCAACCTTGCCCCGGCGGACAGCTCCCCACGCGCCCCAGCGCTGGTCTCCGCTGCCCGAGCGCCTCCCTCCGCGGCGCCTGCCCGAGGCTCCCTCTCGCTCCGTCTCCCGCTCGCTCGCCAGTTGCCGGCCCGCTCGCTCCTTCTCCCCGGCAAAGTTGAGAGGGAAAGGTGCACTCACCTTTGTGCATGCCTGTGAACCTGTCCTTCAGAACCGTGAGCTCGTAGATCTTGCCAAACTCCTCGAAGAGGGGCTTGAGGTCCTTCTCATCCAGGTTTCGGGGGATCTGCCCAATGAACAGCTTGATGGCATCGTGGTCCTTCATGGGAATGGTCGACGGGTTCCCCGGGCTGTGGCTTAATCCGTTCATGTGCCCGGCGCTGCCCGGGCTGCCGCCGAGCCCGTTGGTACTGAGGCTCGCGTTGTCAGCCTGTCCGTTTGCTAACGTGGCCATCTTTATATACATAGAGAAAATCTTCTTTCCTTTTATTCTTTCTCGCTCGCACTCTCTCGCTCCTCTCCCTCACTCGCTCGCTCGCGCTCACACACGCACACGCATACACACACTCGGGTTCTCTCCCCCTCGATTTCCCTACACCTCGCTCCTCTCTCTCTCTCTCTCTCTCTCTCTCTCTCTCTCTCTGTCTCTTCGCTCGCGCTCTCTCCTCTCCCCTCCCTCCCTCTCTCTTTCTCTCTCCTTCTCTCTCTCTCTCTCTCTCTCTCTCT